TGTGAAGTAATGCTGCACAGTGAAGCAGGAACTGCTTCAAGTCTGTAAGGCATCCAAGTGCATATAAAATTGATTTCAATGGAAGGTGATGGACAGAAGCACAACTACACTGGAAGCCCAAAGGGAGAACACACATAATAGATGCTACTACAGTAAAATGGGATATAAACCATAACACAAATAACACAAGCGGATATAAATTCACCTCCACCAGAAACGATGGCTGTTTTGTAGAAAGAAAATGATGTTTGGCATATAGATAGTTCTCTTTCATTTCCAGTGAATTCATGTCTTAGTATTCGGGTCTTCTCTTTATCTCCATCTCCTGGTGTGAGAATAGCCTATGCAATGGTTGTATTCACAGGGGGCAGGTGATGCAATATATAGATTAAAACTGCTGATCCCATCAAAAGTGGTAAATGTAATGAAGCAACAGTGTACGTCACCATGGCAATGGATTGTGCATGAAAATACGGCGCTGAATACCAAGCACAAACTCAGGAAGCAGCTGCCCAGGCTGGAAGTTGTCATGAAAATGGTCCTTGTCTCAGGTATATTGTCCAATACAAGTCTTCTGGTCACTTCAAAAATGCAAGAACATCGTGTTGCAGTTATTCGTTGTGATTCAGCCTTTGACAGCAACTTGACACACATGGGAAGAAAACACAAGCTGTCATCATCTAATTGGAGAAGAATTTTGTTCTTACTATGTCTGCTGTGGTCATGAAAATAAGGGAGAAGTAATACATGGATTGAAATACAAGCTTCTAATAATAGAAGCAGAAGAACAAAAACATTTTACCTCTTAACAGCATCAGATCAAGGCAGAGAGTTCAACATGTTCTTCAGCACACACACCTCTCTGTGTGAATGTAGAGTCAAAAGTATGGTAAATATTACCATATTCACAACCCTCACAACTCAAGCAAATGGAGAAACATGGACTTGTGTCTGTAAAGCAGGTGTGACCTCCACCTGAGAGAGAAGTAGAGATATGCCTGCACCAAGCTTCTCTCATTTGAGGAGAGGGTGAGCTCCTGGTTGTTACGGGAAAATAAGAGTGCTCCTGCAACTTCCAGTTAACTTTTGGTTTATGTAATGTTTAAATAATTGTTGGATAAAATCTGACTTTCAGACTTTCCTTATGGAGAATAAGCAGGCTGCATGTGGAGAATCCTTCATGGCATTTTTGGTTTTCACTTTAATTATCAAAGTTAGCCCAAGCATAAACATGGACTTTGATGTTTAAACACTTAAAATGTCACTGCATAGTCCCAAAGTTCTGTCCCCACTGAATGGGATGTCCAGTTTTAATAAAACAGAAGTAGGTAAATGCTGACTGGTAACTTGTTTCACATCCTCTGCTTATTTTCTTTGTCATCTACCTTCTATCCCTTGCTCAGCACAGCAAGATTAGGGGTGAGTGACTCCTAAAATGATACATAATTGTACTGCAAAGGAGGCAAAATTGTGTACCATGCACTTCTTTCCCTGCCCTGAACCTACTTCCCATTCTTCTTTATGGTCAACACACACATATAAACTACTTTTGCTAGCTCCATTTGTGAGCCTATAGAACTTGATTTACAGTCATGTTTCAGCTTACACTTCAAGTCCCTATTCAAAATTGAAAATGGATTTTCTTGCAGGAATTTTAAAATATATCAGAGGTTTTTCAGAGGATGAGCAGAGGGGCGAGTAAGAGACCAGTCTAATAATCCCTTTATGAAAACTTCTCATTTTGTTTTTAACATGCTGTGACCTGTTTTCTAGACTAGATAACATGTTCAGTAAACCCTATTGTCCAAGTGTCTTTAATGAAAAAGTGACAGGAGGTTGTGCATTATTAATAGAGCTATTAATGCCCTCCTTGGGTTGTTGACAGGACTGAGCATGTACCAACAGCTTAACAATTGCACACGGGTTTGAGGCTTACTACTGCATCAGCTGTGCCTTTGCCTTCACAGTGGACACAGCCGGTCGCAGTATTTGCCATGACACACCCTGCCATGCCTCTGCCTCAACAATCACTGAATTGCCAGCTTTATTCATGAGCCGAGTGAGTGAAGAGTACACCTCCAGGGCCAGGCAGGTGGTGGTGGGGAACACCCTGACACTTCTATTCTAGAAGCAGTATACAGGACAAGGAAAACAAAAACATATGTGGGTCTGCAAACACAGCCAGTGCAATATTTTGCATTGAGGACCAGACACATTTAAGCAGAAAGCCATATATATATATAGGAGTAAAAGATTTTGCATTTTCTTTGTTTCTTTCAGAAGGTGTGTGAGGGGAAAAGAAAGAATATTAACTGCATCTCAAATGTATAAAAGCTGTTCAATGTTATTCATCTGGCCCACTTACACTGCTGCCTGTTTCCCAGGAGAAGCAGATGGAACAAGAAAACCTCCTGCTATTTACTTTACTTTGCTTATCTTCCTCAATGCCCAAGCTACACTGTTTCCAATTTTACTAGACAATTTTCTGAAATTACAGTAGGAAATTAGTTAATTTCCCTCTATATGGGTTGTAGCATTGTGCTTTTATTTGTGTATTGTCCAAAAGGTATTCCAAGTGCTTTGCATGTCAATTTATACTAGAAAGGGAATCCTGTAAAAGACAGAGAGTGCTTCCATCTTTAACATGGATTTGTACATATCTTAAAAAGAAGATTTCTTCCTCCTTTTTTGTAAAGAATTTGGAAAGTTACATATGACAATAATTTACTCAGAACTTTTTTATTCATATATTGATGTGCCAAGATTACCAGGAAAAAAACCTCATCTTGAAAAATGCAGTAAATTCATACAGAGAAAGAGCAAGATAACAATTAAAAAATTAGTCTGGGTTCAAATCCTATGCAAAAATAACAGAACCAACTGCAGCAGAGGCACAGACATGTCATAAATCAATTTTAATCTAATGATCAAAATAATTGCAATTTTTCTTGAAACTCAGAGGGCAAATTGAAAATATTTCGAAATTACTTAAACCCGATATAACAAAAGCTGCAGCGAAGAATTCAAATGTATTTCTTCATGCAAACCGATATCCTCATATGGCTTATAGTTACTGACTAAAAAAAAGTTACCTTCATTTGTAACATAAATGTTGCGTCTTCTTAGTTCATTTTTATTCTCCAGCTGAACACTCATCTGTAAATAATGAGTTCTTGAAAAATAAATCAAACTGGGTCACTGCAAAGTCATCAGGCACTCTAGGGATGGCTAACGTGATACTGTGCCTTTTACATCTAAGCTGCCAGTTTCAATTCAGTCTAGGCAAGCAATGACTGAAGTCTACTGCCAGATGTTTCTTGTCATGCATAATGGGTTGGTAGACTTAGTTCATTTTGCAGTGAAAAAATAATGTTTATATATGGTGTCGTGAAATTGTCACTGAGGACAGAGCGGCTTCTGCAAACCAAACTATCCCGTATCTCAGAATCACAAAACAGCTGACATTGTCAGGGACCTCTGAAGATCATCTGGTCCAACTCCCTGCTGAAACAGGGCCACCTACAGCCAGTAGGTCCTCCAGACCGTGTCCAGATGGCTTCTGAGTACCTCAAAGAAGGGAGACTCCACAACCTCTCTGGGCAACCTGTGCCAGGGCTCAGTCACCCTCACAGGAAAAAAGTGTTTCCTGATCTTCAGAGGGAACCTCCTATGTTTCAGTTTGTGCCCATTGCCTCTGGTCCTGCTAATGGGCACCACTGAAAAGTGCCAGGCTCTGCCTTTCGCACCCTCCCTTCAGATACTAATTCATATCGATAAGGTGCCTTTGAGCCTTCCTTTCTTCAGGCTGAACAGTCCCAGCTCTCTCAGCCTCCCTTTGCCTGTCATACGCTGCCGTTCTTTAACCATCTCAGTGGGCCTTTGCTGGACTTGCTCCAGTATGTCCGTGTCTCTCTTCTATTTGGGGAGCCCACCGCTGGACAAAGCACTCCAGATACATCTCACCAGTGCTGAGCAGAGGCGAAGGACTGCCTCCCTGGACCTGCTGGCGACACTCCTGCTAATGCAGTCCAGGATACTGTTAGCCTTCTTTGCCACAAGTGTGCATTGTTGGCTCATGTTCAACTTGGTGTCCACCAGGACCACCAGGTCGTTTTCTGCAAAGCTGCCTCAGACATTGGTCTCATCAATGTGTCCCTCTGAGATCAATGGTACTTCTCTGTAAAATACAGGGTCTTCCATTCAGGTGGGGCACACTCTAGGAATGAAATGTTTGAAATTGCTAAAACTAAACAAAGCTGACCTATCTCAGTGCAGGGCTAATACACACAAATGCGCACCACACAAACTTACAAACTGCTTTTCAACTGAGCTAGAAAATCTGAAACAGTTAACATACTGCCAGGCAGTATAAAGAGACGTGATGTAGACACATACTGAGAAACACACAGTTCAGATAATAAAGAAATGTTCTGCTTACAAATCCATTCCTAGGTTCACACATTTTCTACTCAATACATGTTCAAATCTAAGGAGTTTTGATTTTCCAGAATAGCAACATTAACTGTAGATAGTAGTTCAAACTTTTACACTACCACATCTTAGCAGACCACAACCCTGATACCTGAAGACCATACTTAAAATAAACTGACTTAGAGGTGGGCTGACTGCCTGCATAACTAATTGTATTCCTGGCCACTGAAGCCTACGGACACACATTTCCTGAAAGAAAAAGAAATGGTTATTGCTTAATCACTTCAACTGTAATTAGGTAATGAACTACCCTTTTACTTGAAGGTATTATTTCACTAGTTCAATTTTATTATTCTTATTTTAACATGTATTGCTTCTCTCCATCTCTGAAGATGGTATTTGAATGAGTTCTTATTTTACATTCAGGACAGACATAGTGGACTTCTCTACAGGAGACATTCCTGCCCTCTTGCCCCTACCATAAAAAGATTTTTGTGGAACTTATAACACAAGACCGCACCTATTGAGCTAAATTATCTCTTTATTAGGAAAGCACCAACACCACATTCTTCAAAATTACTGGAATTTTATTTGCCTCAGGCTTATGACTTGCAACCAAAGACATTGTGCAAAGAAAGCAAAGATTAAGTACACTTTAGGGAAAAGGTGATAATCCACACTGGTAACATAGAAGATCAGTCTGATGAAAGAAGCCATCCATTACACTATATAGATTGCAATATTGAATAGCATTTTTTTAACCCAACTTTTTTAATCAAGGAAAAAAAAGTTAAGTGAAGTTTACAGTAGACATAAATTTGATACAATTCAAAAAGCGTTTTTCTGAAGATCGTCAAGCGTAAAGTGGAAAAATGAATATGGGACAAGGTGGATGAAGGCTAACTACTGTACATTTATCAGCTATTAAACAAAGTTGCATATATGTACCACAGTGTAAAAAACCAATACAGAACAAATAAAAACTTTGAAAACTGCCTGATGAAAAATAAAATAACCAGTGGCTTTTAATGGCTTCTCCTGGTTATCAATGCTACAAAAGACTTTTTTTTTTTTTGTCTTTCTGATGCCACTGAAAAACATCCTGTCAAATGACAAAACCAGGCACAATCAAACCATTACTGAGTTAAAACCAATCCATAGAAATATACTATCAACCTACATTTTCCATCAAAAGCTTTTCGTTTGTTGTTTTGTTTTTAAATACTTTCAGGCTCATTTGGTCACAATATGTTACATTTTTTTCCTTTTTTACACCGTGATATCATATGTTTGTCTGGTACTATCCTAAAGCTAATTTATAGAGAATGAGAATACAGAAACAGCCCAATGTTTATTTGACAAAATGAATTCACTGGGTGTAAAATAGGAGAAAGGAGAAGAGAAGGGGAAGGGGTCAGTACTGCCAAGAAAATAAACCCTATGGATCACTCATCATCACTTCCGCTTGCTTCCGACTGGTCCTAGAGGTAAGAGACACAAGACAAGTCAGAAATTCTTTGCCAGCTATTCTGTGGAATTTGTTAAAGAAGGAAAAAAAAACCAAACCAGAAAGTAAAAGGAAGAAAAATGACAAACTGACAAATCAAGATAGCCTTAAGAAAGGTACTATGTTATATTTCTTTCTCATAACATTTCATTTAATTGCTGTAGACTTCTTTAGAGAAGGAAAGACACAGAGTCAGGAAACACCAGAACTTTCTTTCTACCCAGACATTTAAAAATAACTGAGAAGAGGTCTGTTTTCATTTTTTGCTATAGTAGAAGCATCCACAGAAAAAAAACCAAAATCAAGCTAAGAGTTTTTCATCCATGGACAAAAACAAACAGACCATGAGGTCTAAAGGATCAATGAAAGCAGGAACAGCTCCAAGAAATAAGCTCCAAACTTCTAAGACTTCTTGTCTTTCAGCATTGGGATCAAATCTCATAAGCACACCCAGATACAGTTAACACCCCCCACCCAGTTCTCTCAAGATGATCAATACAGATTAAACATGTGCTTAAGCATGAATAGTTGAGAATTCTGACAGCGAGCAGGACAGGGTAGAGACGCAATCATGGCAACCACTTCCACAGTCTTAGTGAACAAAACTTACATTTTCATCTTGATCCTCATCACTATCATCATCACTCACGACAGGCTTGGCTTTAGCTCGGCTTTGCCTCTTCTTGCCTTTTCCTTTCTCCCGACTTTTTTCATCCTTCTTATTTAGCTTGATTTTGACTTTCACTGATTTTGCTGCAAAAAGTTTAACAGTTACATAAATGTAATTTTCACTTACCAACTTTTAAATGCTATCTCTGTTCACAGAAATTGATCCCTAGTAACAACCTGAAAAGATATTTCCCTCTGTTCATTATCTGGACCGTGGAACAATGAAGCAGAGGTATTTGTTTTATTTCTCTACTTCTTGATAGTTTTAACAATAATTTGTATTATATTATAAAGAATAACTTTAAGTCGACCATGTGCATCTCTCTTCATTCTCAGAATGCATGGTGTCTAAAGGTAGTATATGGTTCTGTGAGAAGATACTCACCTAAAATATTTTCTTCCTTGTACAAAGAAATGTTCATCCTTAGTACAAACATTTTTTTTAAAATTTTAAACTACAGAAATGCTATGTGGACATGACTGGCAAATTTTGAGTTGACACACTTCTGAAGAACATGTTAAATTCCTGATTCCAGAATATCCACTCATTTTGAAATGAACAGCTAAAATTGCATGTTTTGCACACCTCTGTGACGTACTTGGAAGAGTAGCTCAGGGTCAAGTACTACAGTTTCTGTAACCAGACAGATGGGTAGCTGGAGAGTATGGGTAGAGGTATCGGGTGGCAGAAAGTGGAATGAAGGGATCCCTCCTTTTCTACTGTATCATGTTTCCAAGTCTGCAAGGACTGGATGAGTGTCACCTCCCGCTTCTGAAACAACTGGAGTTTCACTTAGTCCTTGTCACACTGAAGAATATTTGCAACATCTTCTGGTTCTTAACCAGATGATGAGTTTTATACGTCATACCATGCTTGAAGGTTGACCACCCATGAATAAAGACTGTCTCTAGCCTTTCCAGGCACTTCTATTTACAAATAACATGAACAAGACCAGAAAGGTTTATAAACACTCATGGTCAGTCAGGTCTGCTTCCACAAAGCACCTCTGTGATTTGTTTCTGGCTTAAAAATAGTTTACTATACTCTAAGAGGTATAGCCAGAACATAAAGGCAAAAGACTTAAGCTAAATCTTAACACCCAAAGTAGCCAACTTAGTAAGACGTTACTTTCACCAAAGGAAAACTGAACTTCACAACCAGTTTTCATGTAGAAACTGGAATATCTCCCTTTCCACCCCCAGATGTATTTTCTTTTCAGTATTCAGCAGGGGACTCACATTCTGATTCTGATTCTTCTTCTTCATCATCATCTTCATCATCATTGCTTTCATCATCGCTTTCTTCTTCTTTGGCAATCTTCTGTCGTGCACTTTTGAACACAGACTGAAGAACAATGGAATCCTCATAGATCTACAGTGTGGATACAAATTTATGTCAGAACTGTACAGTCAAGCAGTATCAAAAATTCACAGCATAGAACTTAATTTCCAGTGCAAACCCACAGAATATATGGTCTTTTTAAATACTGAGTAACAATGCTTGTTGCATGAATTTTAAAAGAAATGGTAACACTAATTTTCATGCTCTAAATGAAGAAATTTGTCAATAGTGAGCCACAAAAACACAATTCTTAAAATGTGTTACATCTAAAATATCCAGTTTGTTTTGTGTATGTCCCAAACATCCAGCGTGTTTTGCTTGTTATTTTTATTACCACAGGAACTATTGTGTAATTTCATTAGATCGTAACAGTCTTGAAAAACTGGAAAGCAACAGACTTCAGCAGTAAGCACCTTAATTAAAAAATGGGTTATAGTCTAGCAATACAGTTGATAATGACAAATGGCTAACCATCATGTTCATTATGCTTAGTTTTTTCTGAAATCCAAAGTGGCTACAAGGAAAATAAATTATCCCAAGCAGCTCATTCCTTCCTTCCTTTTGAATCTAAAATGACTGAAAAAAAAATAAATCGTTCTATATTTAGCACCTGTTCTCAAACATTCTGTAGCTTGCTAAGTATCTTTTCTCTTTGACCTCAACCATGAGGGGCCTCTCAAGAGCCAGAAGACTACATTTGGCTTGTAACACATTTCTCAGATTAACACAGTAAAAATCTTGTCTTGCTGAGTATCTGGTCCTTTGTAATCACCTTAACAAATGCCCTTGTACATTTTGTCTTGTAAAATGTCAGAAGCCAAGCAGTGGACAATTCAGCACTAGATAATTAAAAGTAGTTAACAGAAGGGTACAGAGTCATAGATTGTATTTGGTTTTATCACTGTCATCATCACTTGTGTCCTGATTTGGCTAAAACAAGACCATTTCTCCTTTCAGTAGATTTTCCTTCAATTAAGTCTTTTCTAAGCGACTGCACTTTCTGAAGCTGACTACAGGTTTTTCAGGCAGTGTCTGCTTTTAGAGTTAATGGCACTTGATGTCTGTAGTTGTTGCTGGGGTAGAAGTGGGATTGTGATGCGGAAAGGTCCATGGGTGTGCTTGTTCCTATGGGAACCAGAGTCGCTGTGGGCTCCCTTGTGGGGAAGTATAAAACTGTCGCACCTGCAGACAGGACAGGTGACCACTGACTGATCAATGACGTACTCCATCCTACCCACATGAATACTGGGTATAAAGCTCAGGGATCATGAGAGTCAGCTCTCTTTCCTTCATGGCCGGCATCCCTGTGTAACCTTACTCGCTTTCCTGCCTCCGACCCTGATCCGTGCATTCTTGAATCCAGTTCCTGTCAGCTGCAGCGTCCAGTCTGGGACATCCGGGTGCCCGCCCTGCTGCGTGAGCACTGCGAGCCGCCACGGTGCAGCCCTCAGTCATCATCAGGAAGATCAATCTTGGTTTTGATGTATTTCTATTTCTATGATTAGTAGTGTTAGTATTAATATTATACTCTTTTTCATTGCTACTGTTATATAAAAGTTGTTTTAACTTTCCAAACCATAAGTCGGTCCGACACTTCTCTCCTCTCCCTCCCCTTCTGGGAAAGGAGGGGGTTAATAGCGTCTGCCATCCGCTTTAAGCACCCTCCCAGCCTTAAACGGTGACAAATTGAAACACCTTGTCTGTCACACTACTCCTTTGGCTAAATTACACACTTTCTTGTATAAAGGGTATTTGTGAGAAAGATAATGGAAAGATTTTTGGCTGCCATTATACATGTATCTTAAAACCAATAAAACTACTCTAATACTTCGCAAATTCAACAAAACAAATTATTAAAACTTTGTTCAGAATACGTTACATGAAATATGCCATCTCTCTTTTTTCACTTGATCACCAAGTCCTTTTTAGAAAAACTGCCTCTCACAGTAGATTATTACCCATTCTGTAAGTGCTGCTGTGCTTTTTGTTATGACATGTTTGATTGCTCTTGACCATGGTAAGATTTCTTGGCATACATATAATGATCATGAATGTTTTGAAAAGGCTCTTCTGCTATTGTCTTACAATGTTAGTGGGTTGTGAAATCCCATAGCTTCCTTCTTTGAAGTCAAACAATTACTGACTTTCTCTTATACCTACTTCTTTTCACGTCAGATATCAGTAAAAGCCCCTGAGTTGCTTCTGCGGACCATTTATTTTTCTTATGTATAGGCCTAGCATATTCCATTGCTCTTAGGAATGGCTCTTTCAGCTAACCTTGCTGTCCTGTCTCAGACCAAATGCTTTCCTAAGACAAAAAGAATTAACGACGCATACAACATTATAATTTTTTAATGCTGGTCACTACATATTTAAGGCATCACTGTGACCCAGACTGTTAAACAGAATTTCCTAGGGAAATAAAGCATTCAAAAAAATTATTTTAACTTTTGTAATGTGAATTATTTGTAATATTCAGTATCTATTTTGATCCAGAAGAAAACTGGGGCTGCTTCACGAAAAGTGGTGCAAATAGAAGTTTTCTTATTTTGACCAAAATCCAGTTCCAACAGGTTTCAATAAAACAAGCATCAAAGACAGCAGAACTTCCTTCAAAAAGGGAGAAGCAATGACAACAGTACTTCATGACAAATGACAACATTCATGACAAATCTTCTGTTTCAATAGACACATACTATTTTTAACCCCTTACCTGTCTGTGTTTCATTGGACCATTACAATGTGAAAAATTTTTCAAGTCGCTGAGGTTGCATTGAGGACAAAGGCCTCAAAACACAAAGTCTGTCTCTCCCTGAAAACCCCTCATAAGGTTCCAGCTCAGATGGAACTGCTTTGCTCCAAGGAAAAGCAGCATGCATCATACTAACAGAACAAACACGTAGACTTCCACTTGAAGTCACTCTGTACTTAAACAACTGCCTGAATTAGCCTTTTGGTTTTGGGTGCAGACACAAATAATCTAGTTTACTGAAGTGAACTGGTATGTCAGAACAAAGGTGGACCTGGACTATTACAAAGAATATGAGGGAGCCTTAAAAGCTGGAGGACTGCTGCAGAAGTGTCCTGCAATTCACTGGAAATCAAAATGAATGGTACAAGTACTTACCAGAAAGAAAGAAACAAACAAAATCTTAGATATGAGTTATTTGGGCTTCGTGCTATAAAAAGTAATACTAGCTCTGGTAATTACAGAAAATAATAATGCAACACTCTGATAGAGGTTGGGTTGTTTCCAAACAGAGGGGCAAAATCTAGTGAACACTTCTACTACTCAGGATTATTCCTATCAATTCTACCACCTCTGCCTAACAAGAGACCAGTTTCCCATTAGCAGTTTGAGTCATTCTGGTAAGAATAATTTCGTTATTTTTCCCATTTAGCTACTGATTTTTCTTTGCCTCTTTTTACCTCCTCTACCAACTTTTACTATTTTGTAAAGTCTTGGTGATACCTTTTGGTGTTCACTTCACTTTTTTTTTTCTTTTTTTTACATTTGTTATCATTAGATATTTACAGCTGTTTGACTCCTATGTGACTAAGCAGTAAACTGGCAATTTACATTTGGATATGTAGCAAAATTTTGTCCCACACTTCCTATCATCATTAATTTTCTTATTAAAATATTTTTTAGCTGCTTTATTTATAAGTTGTTTCCATATAACTGAAGACAGTAAAAATACTGCACATACATATTACAGAAAACATTTTCTGTCTCTAGATGGCAAAAAGAATCACAAAGTGATAAGCTGTACTCAACAGTCTTTCATAATTAATTGCATACTCATTTTAATTTTTAATTCTCAAATTTTAATATAAAATCCCCAGTCTAGCTAAGGGTCATCAGTAATGTTTAGGAAGTTGAAGGATGCATTAGTATTGGCAGCATCAGCCTTCAGCTTACTTTTACTTAGGTTTCTTTTAATATAATTTTTTTCCTCTTGCATATTATGAGAGTTGTCTTCATGTTCTCTGTTTCAATTTAATACTGTGTTTGCATCACCCTATTTGGACCTCATCTATAAAAATAATCATCCAAGACTGCTTCACTGTATTGTGAGACAACTTTCTTATCTGTCATCCAGATTTTGTAGTCTTTCTGGTTTTGTGTCAGTGCCCTGTTTTGAATTCACAGCATTGAGCGCATCCACGTGTGTAAAAGATCTCCTTGGGATGACAGATTTTGCCTTCTAAATGTCCGAGACTCATCTGGGATTTACTATTATGTCTCTTAAAATGGACTCTGATTTTTCAACGTTAAAAACAAAACAAACTAAACAAACTTTATCAAACAGTTCAGAGAGTATAAAGCTTCATACACAAATCTTTACTGCTGGACAAACCTTTAATTTGTATCTTCCATCAGCAGAACTGAAAAGAGTTCACTACGAAGTATTTGCTCAAGATCTTGTCCTAAGCTGTACTGTTACATGTGCTCCTAGTATCATCTACTGTGGTAAACCCAAGCTGATGTATCACTCTACAGACACTGCCTTTTACCATAGATTGAAATAGTCTTACAGCAGCAGTAAACTACACACAGATCAGAAAACAACAGTTTCTCTGCATGCACATCCTGCAGCTGTGTCCAGTGAATTCTGGATAATTCTAAGAATCTGGGCATTCTTCTCTATCCAAAGTAAGAATTAAAACACAGGGTTTATATACATAATATAATAATCCACAAACACTGAAAACGTTACATAGGGGAAACCTGTATGTTTAACACAAAGTGGTTCATTCAGACCTGTGATCCCTCCAAATTGAATGTCTGAGCATTGTGACACAGCAACATGACATCTTTCTCCAAGTCCCCAAGACTCCGATACTTATGGTTGCGAATTCTTTCCTGTTGCATTTGTTGAGGAAATGAAGAGAAGTGCGGATGGGCGGTGGTGCAGACAGAAAAACAGCAGACAGGACACTGAATTAATATTTGATTTTAACACATTAAAAGCTTTCTCTTTAAAAATTTTACCTAAGCATCAAGACAAGTACCTGTTTAAAACAAAGAAAGTCTTAAAACATATTGTTAACACGTTACTCAAAAAAAATACAGCAGAGGAATAAAGTAAAAATTAAGCAATTGCCGTGTGAACTGGAAGAGAAAAAAGGAACACAAATGCTCTTTTGGTAAAAGGGAGTTCCAGTTTCTTCTTTATAGCACAGAAACAAAATACGCTATGACATTAATGAAAGTCATAGAGTTATGACATCACCTAACGGGCAACAAGATGCCTAAAGCCCATATTCTAAACTGTGTTTGGATCTGACCTGGCTGTTCCAAGAGGCAATGCTGATTTAGGAATGACTATATTCCCCTAGAACCACTAAACCTTCGCAAACACCATGTTTTTACCAAAGATATGCTTAGAGAATCACAATTGGGTCTTTGCAAAGAAGACACTGAGACGCCATCTCTGAAAGTGTCATTCATGTCACACTGCTAACATTTTGATTTGGCTTTGAAATTACAATGATATACTGCAATACACACTAAACAAAATTCCTAACAAGGTGTGTAATTTTTAAAATCTAAGCCACAAATACAGGTACGTGAAATATGCATGTTGTTGTAATCTGAATGATGACTTCATGCTTACCCTTCTGTATAACAAAAAGAAATACAGGAACCTCCACTTCTGAGAAAGGTTCATACCTTTATCTTTTTGAAGTCCACTGGTTTCCTAATCAATTCATAATACTCTGGTAATTCTTTCCTGGATGGGAGCTGAATGAAGACCTCACTTAGCTGTCGTCCTGAACTGTTGAGAAAAACAAACCCATAATGCAAAGAATTACTACAACTTTCTCAAAACACACACACACATACACATACAATCTAATCATAATAAATAAATAAAAATAAAAAGTACAATCTTCTCTTTCAAAGAATTACAAATTGAACCCTGCTCTGATTTTTTAATTTGGTACAGAAAATTAATTTAAAACTTAAAACATACCCTTTGTGCTGTTGTCCTAACATATCACCGTCATTATAGGATCATATGTGTAGGAGGCTTTATGGAAGCAGGATCAGGATTTCAATCTGAATTCCGTAGTGGTTTGCTGAGTACAGTCTTACCCTTTTCTCAGTTTTGTTTTATAATTTTTAGCAAGTGTCCGTCCTGTCACTAAGTTTATCTTCTTGGTCATTTTATAGTAGTTTGGTACCTCCTTGTCATAGCAAACCATTTGTTCATACTGATTTCCATTATACCAGATGCTGATTGCTATCATACTAACTAGATACTACAACAAAAAAAATTACTAACTTCCATTAGTGATTGTTAGGTTTCTGGCAAGACCATTGTAACAGTATTGAAAATCACTACTGCCATATGTACTTCTTCAGCAATCTGAAATAAAGTTATCGAAAAACCTTTCATACTCTAGGAACATTGCCTGTCACTTACAGGTGTTCAGAATTTCTAAGATTTCCCGATTTCCCACGGTTCATCCTTTATTAATAGATATTTTAACGCTTCCAAATTGAGGGGGCTTTTCGATCTTCTTATTTGTGGTTTCCCAGGTAATACATGGCTATAAGTCACCTGGAGACGAAATGTGTTGATGGCACTTACGGCCTTTGTCTTCTTTGTTTTTTTCTGGTGTGTGTCTTCTTTTTCACAGACAAAGTAGCAGAAAAAAGCTCTGCTGAGAGGAACTGTAATTTACTGCACATAGTGTTCACAACCATTTCCCAGCCCACATTCATGTGCTTCCTTCTCTCACATCTACTCCAAAAAGGCCCTGTTTTCTCATTTGCATCTTCGCATGGTAACTCAGGGATACCAAACCTTCACAGGAGCTGGGCAAGAAGGCTGTCAAGTCCAGTGTCTCCTCCTGAGGTTCTCTCTTGTAGTCACCCTCCACAGTGGTGTGGATCTTACCAGACACATTAAACTAATACTGAATTGAAGGTTAACTGAGGCAATTCTGCCATGGAAGATAAGGACGATAAAAAAGCACAGAACAGCTCTGCCCTTTATGAAAGTCATGAATGCGTACTATATCTTAGACATTTCTTAATGCCCGAAATGGTATCAGAATTTGAGGAGATACTGTTTTTCTTAATGACCAGACAGACCAATGAACAAGCGGGAATAACTAGCATTTCCTCATTTCCTAAGTAGTTGTTGCTCACCTAATCCAAGATTTCTTACTGTTCTCAGTTGAGTCCTGGGACACTGCTGATCCTTATATACCTTGCATCAGAGGACAATAATGTAAACATTCTAATTGCAGCTTGCTCATCAGTGTTCAACCAATATCCTGGGTGCCAAGTGGCAGCTAGAGTATTTTTCTGCCCAGTACAAATGTAGACACCAAAAGCCTCTGTCTCATCCTCACAACTTCTGCCTGACTTGCAGCAGAAGCCATTCCCCTTGCCTGCTTAGCAGTAACCACCAGGCTGCCTCCTGGATTACAGCATGACACACGCACGAACGCAATTCTGGGTGCCGCTGCTGCATGGTAAGACGAGGCGGCAGGCATACCGTGCATCTGTGTTGGGGAAGGTGAGAGTGAATTCTGTCTACCCCATACAGCTGTTGGGGTAGATATCCCGACATCTCACACTCCAGGCAGTTACTAGCATTTTCACCCAACAGATCTAATTTATTTGGGAAGCACCTTGCCACTGAAATAGAGGAAATCATAAAATGACCAGATAATTGTCATCCCAATTCTTACTATTTCTCTCGTATCAGTAAATAATTGTGAAACTCGGGAAACTGCACTTCCCATCTCCTTTGGTACTGATTCACACCAAAGAGAGAAATTCATTGCTTTCATACATCCCCTGTGAAAATGGGAGGTGTTTATACCATGGATTTAAAGGCATCAATCTTGTTAATGATCTATGTGAGTGACTATGTCATGCCACGTGACAGAACTTGTCTTCATCTCAGACTGCCTTCTCAAAGAGAAAGTGGAAGCAATACAAGGAAAAGCAATGCATTAAGTAGAATCATGGAATCATTATGACTGGAAGAGACCTCAAGGATCATCAAGTCCAACCGAATACCTGACGCCACCATGCCTGCTAAACCCCACTAAACCATGTCTTGAAGCGCCACATCTAAACGTTTTTTGAACACTTCCAGGGATGGTGACTCCACCACCTCCCTGGGGAGCCTGCTCCAATGTTTAACAACTCTAACAGTGAAGAAGTTCTTTCTAATGTCCAGCCTGAACCTTCCCTGGCGCAACTTGAGACCATTAAGTACACACTACACAACTTACTAAATTAACATGTCTTTCCACCTCATTGCAAATTGAGGACTATTTTTTTTGTTAATAAAGAGAAATCTTGAGCACTCAACAGCTGCAACTGTGATCAATGCAATTTGCTCTGAACCTATAGAACACTAAGTACTTTGAGAACTCTGGTGCCCAAACTGTGTCTTAAAATTAAGTTTCTCATTTGTAAAATCAGAATAAAATGTTGTTAAAAAAGTTCTGTATCTGCAAAACATTCAGACTCCTTATAAGCATCAAGTCAGTTTGCAGATGACACCAAGCTAGGTGGAAGTGTTGATCTGCTTGAGGGTAGGAAGGCTCTACAGAGTGATCGGGACAGGCTGGATCAATGGGCCGAGACCAAGTGTATGAGATTGAACAGGACCAAGTGCCGGGTCCTGCACTTTGGTCACAACAACCCCATGCAACGCTACAGGCTTGGGGACAAGTGGCTAGTGAGCTGCCCGGCACAGAAAGACCTGGGGGTATTGGTCGACAGCTGGCTGAACATGAGCCAGCAGTGTGCCCAGGTGGCCAAGAAGGCCAACAGCATCCTGGCCTGTATCAGAAACAGTGTGGCCAACAGCACTAGGGAAGTAATCGTCCCTTTGTACTCTGTGCTGGTGAGGCCGCACCTTGAATACTGTGTTCAGTTCTGGGCCCCTCACTACAAGGACATTGAGCCGTTGGAGCATGTCCAGAGAAGAGCGACAAAGCTGGTAAAGGGCCTGGAGAAAAAGTCTTATGAGGAGCAGTTGAGGGAGCTGGGGTTGTTTAGTCTGGAGAAAAGGAGGCTGAGGGGAGACCTTATTGCCCTCTACAACTACCTGAAAGGAGGCTGTAGCAAGGCGGGGGTTGGTCTCTTCTCCCGATAGGACAAGAGACATTAGAAAGAACTTCTTCAATGTTAGAGTCATTAAGCATTGCAATGGGCTCCCCAGGGAGGTGGTGGAGTCACCATCCCTGGAAGTGTTCAAAAAACGTTTAGATGTGGCGCTTCAAGACATGGTTTAGTGGGCATGGTGGCATCAGGTATACGGTTGGACTTGATGATCTCTGAGGTCTCTTCCAACCATAATGATTCTATGATTCTATAAAGAAGCCTAGGGGGAATTCAGCTATTCATTAGCTGATCAGTGTTCATGCAAGGCACTGGTCCCGTTGAAAAGGAAAGCAGAGCAGTACACTGTTGCATCATTACAGAGCATACTGTAATGTACCTTCCTGAGGGTATCACTTTCGGTTTCCACCTTTCTTCTGTTATATACTATTTTTCTGTGTGCTTGACTTCACAAACTTGGCAATGTTATTTAATGAATCTGTGCAATATACTGGCATATGATATAGATGTAACCTAATCCTTTAAAATAAAGTGTGAAAAGTTGCTTTCAAAACTTTGTGTGGTATAAATCTGGATTTGCTGTGTAGAAGGACTGAGTTATCACTGCCATGTTTTAAACTTCAGCAGCTTTCTTTTAACAGAAATATCTATTTGAGAAAAATTACTAAACCACTGATGCTGGTGTTGCTTCAACTACGCTTCAGAGTCTAGCAACAAATAGAATGATTTAAGTGTAAAGGAAATGGCTACTAGTAATCTAATTTTGATCAAATTTTGAAACATGTTTAGCATATTTGTCCTATTAAAAAGCTCCTGATGATTATAGAGCTTTTTATCTCATGGCTATATAATTTTTTTTCTCTTTTTACATACACACACCTACTGTTATATTGTATTTTGTATAAAAATGTAACAGTAGCAAATTATTAAACAGCAATATCCTATTTTCAAGATATAGATCTAGCCAATTGTGATTTGTTCACACATTCTATTAAACTTAGAATGCCACAGAAAACCTTCAAGGTTTTGCTTGATATAATTAATTACTGAGAATCATTTAGGGCCATGAAAGAAAAAGCATTAAGGGCATGAAATATGCAACAGACAGAAGACTAGTGCCTGATTTTGTCTACTGAAACCAGTAACAGCCTATTCTGTTTTATTGTTTTTTATAGAACCTCCTTTCACAAGGAAATATTATCCTCTGCTCCCTTTGTATATGTGCATCTAGACTGTAAATTAATGTGATCTTTTCTTATATAATCTCAAATGGCTGTGTTGTGGATACAACAGGAGAAAATTAGTAATTATTAATGCAACTCTGATTTTAATCCCTGTCCCCAGTTTTGTAATTAGAAAATAATAACCACAACAACTACCACATAAAAATCATGCGCAGTAAAAATCACTTACAGTTGCCTAGCAACTAGCAGGATACATGCTGAAGGGAAGGACGAGAATAAATTAAAGACCCGACTGCAAAAGAACTGTGAGTGACAGTTCACTGCTACTGGATCAGCTCAACATGCTCATTTAAAAAATATTTTTGCTTAGAAAAATATTTGTGCTTAATATTTCTGATTTTATCTCATTTTTGTCAAACTGCTTAGAAGGTGAATACAAGCATGTATTTGCATCCATTTAGTCAGTATTATCTTTGGTGGCATTAAATGCAGGAAC